CTAGAGGACAGCAAGATCGCGGCGATTAGAGACTGGCCGACGCCCCGCACATTAACACAGTTACGGTCGTTCCTAGGCTTAGCTAATTACTATAGGAAGTTCGTGAGGAACTTCTCCACTATCGCCGCCCCCTTGCGCAGACTGCTAAAGAAACAGGCAATCTGGGAATGGGATAAAGATTGTACGTCTGCGCTCAAGAAGTTAAAGCGCGCGTTAATAGAATATCCTGTCCTCAAAGTAGCAGATCCATCCTTGCCATTTGTCGTTACCACGGACGCGAGTCAGTATGGGATAGGCGCCGTGTTGCAGCAAGACGACGGCAATGGTTATAGACCCGTAGAGTTCATGTCTGCGAGGATGCCCTGTGAGAAGGTTGCTACCTCCACGTACGAGAGAGAACTCTACACTCTCAGGCAGGCTTTAGACCATTGGAAGCACTACCTGCTTGGGAGGCACTTCAAAGTCTATTCGGACCATGAAACGCTTAGATGGTTGAAGACCCAGGCCAAGATGACACCTAAGTTGACCAGGTCGGCCGCAGAGATAGACCAATTCGACTTTGAGCTCAAGCCAGTGAAGGGCAAGTATAACGTGGTTGCGGATGCTCTAAGTAGGAGATCAGACTACTTTGGAGTCGTAGTACATTATCTAGATATAGGGAGAGACCTGCAGGAGAAAGTGAAACAAGCGTATACGCAGGACCCTATCTATAGCGACCTCCTAAAGAGAGTTAGAGAGACCCCAGAGACCGAACCAGATTACCGCACTACAGACGGGTTGCTGTTTGAGAAGACTAATGTGTTTGACCGCCTGTGTGTTCCCAACAGCGAAGAGATTCGTAGTCTAATTCTAGGGGAATGTCACGATACTCAGGGACACGTCGGTTGGCAAAAGACGTTAGCCAATCTGATGCGTGCGTACACATGGCCAGGGATGAAGATCGACTGCATAGAGTATGTCCGCAGTTGTAAAGTGTGCCAGAGGAATAAATCTACTACACGCGGGCCCCTAGGTCTTCTCAGACCCTTGCCTATTCCGGATCAGCCGGGAGACTCGGTATCCATAGACTTCATGGACACGCAAGTCAAGAGCAGACATGGTAAGAGCCAAGTCATGGTCATAGTCGACCGTTTTAGTAAGTATGCAGTTTTTGTTCC